TAACGGAATCGATAGTCATTCGATATTTCATCCCCTGAAACTCAGCACACGCAGCATTCGTGACCTGGCGAAGCAGAAACGTTCATTTGCTACTAGCCAATATGTTTATTTCCAAATGTTCATTTCCTACTAGCCATTATGATTATGTGCAAAGACATCAATCAATGATTCTTTTATTCATTTGAGCTGTTGGAATAATATTGCAATATACAATACGTTGCGAGCGACATTTGATGTATGCGTTCGCGTATAATTAAACCAAGAAAATTCAAAATGGCCGACATATATATATATTCGAAGGTCAAACTTTTCTGGATCCAGTGTATATATATATATATATATATATATATATATATATATATATATATATATATATATATATATATATATATATATATATATATATATATATACACTAAAATGATAAACCTCTCTTTACAGGTAGTTTACCAGTGTCTACTTGAATTCACACTCTACATAAAAAAACAATATTTGTATGACATTAGTTGTGGGTTATCCCATTCTTTGTCACGCTTACAAAATATATAATACGAGGACCTGATACATATGTTAATAATTTTTTGAACATAGTACTTTCTACATTGTTCATCAAACTTTAGATCCTTCAGCATTTCGGTGAAATCTAGCGACGGGTGGCTGAAAACTCCTAATGAGCTAATCGATAAATTTACAAATTTCACTTTTTCATAATTTTTGAGCTGTTCGTTAATTAGATCTTGATATTTTTGTCTTTTTCGAGTTGCATTAGTGAGGAGATTAGATTTAAATCCGACGGTAAGTTCAAGTATATAAATACATTTGTTTTCAAGTGTTATCAAAAGATCAGGGCGCAATTCATCTCCGGTGATAACAGATGGACTGATATAGCCAGGAAGGTCAGCATAAAGGTTACAATGGTTCACAGATTTAAGTATGGATGCTATGAAGTTAAGCACCGAATCACGACGCCACGTGAAACGTCCTTCATTTAGGTAGGTCTTGCATCCAGCGACGACGTCGACGTGGGAAAGGGATTCTGGAGTCAAACAAAACGAACATTCGCATGTTGCTAATATTACCCACTTCAGAAGGTTTTTGCGAGTCGGAATAGTGTTATTTATATACCAGATAGTGAAGTTAAATATATTCTTGGGAAGTTTACTCTGAACGAAGGAACATATAGAGTTGAATAAGAGTGTAGAATGTTTAATGATATTGGAGAAAAATGAGCCTTGTGAAATGAGGTAGTGTTGAAGCTTGTCTTCACGTTGTTTCCTGATGGTGTTTAATACGTCCTTGGTGTTTTTGTATTTGTCGTATTGTACATTTTTGTAATTGCTAGTATCCTTCCAAAGGTTATTGATCGCTTCATTTGGCGACGACTTTAGAGCTTTCCGAGAAACAGTTTGGCATTGAAAGAATTTGGTTGAAGGTAGAATGATGTTTAATCCAAATTTATTTGTGGGGAAGTAGGACGTTACTAAGCGTTGCAGAAATAGGAAGTTCAAGCCATTTTTGGATATACGTAGACGCGATACTATCTAGTTTATCGTTAACCCAGGTTTTGCCTATGTCAGAAACAGTGAAGTGCCAAAAGATTTTGGAAAGCACATAATGACTGGATAAGAGAATTTTGTTTTTCGGATGTAATGGTAGATCATCAATTTCATTCAGGATATTAGTAAGTGCATCATATATTTCAGATAATAATAATAATAATAATAATAATAATAATAATAATAATAATAATAATAATAATAATAATAATAATATTATACCAACAAAAAAAAAAATAAATAAATAAAAATAAACACTATCAACCTAAATTGAATATTAGCCACCTACTTGTACCCCGTACCGAAACTGGTAAATCTTTCCGCTACCTTGGTCGTTATTTTAATTTCAACATGTCAGATAAAAAACACCAATCGGATATATGTGACTTGTTTAGTAATATCATATCTAAAATAGATGAATTACATTTGCACCCACGAAATAAAATCCTGCTCTACGGTCGCTACTTGCTCTCGAAAATCTCATGGGACTTCACAATAACTGATATATCTCAAACATGGGTTTGCGAGACTTTGGACGGTATTGCTACTAAATATATACGAAAATGGCTCGAACTGCCAATATCTGCAACTCTAAGCAATGTCTATCTCCCTTACAACAAATTTGGTTTAAATGTCATTCTACCTTCAACGAAGTTTATACAGTGCCAAACTGTCTCACGCTTAGCTTTAAAGTCATCGATAAATGAAAACATACGTGAATTATGGTCAATAACAAGCACCAATAGGAACATTCAGTACGGCATTTACTCAAACACAAAAGATGTATTGAAGGCATTTAGACAAAAAAACGAACAGCGACTACAAAATAACCTAATTTCACAAGGTTCTTTTTTCTCAAACATCGTGAAAATCTCCACGTTGGCATTCAATTCCCTATGGTCATCGGTTCATTCAAAACTTCCTAAGAACATATTTAACTTCTGTCTACGTTACATCAACAATTCTTTACCTACTAGGAAAAACCTAGTTAAATGGGGACTGTCATCATCTGCTGACTGTTCGTTCTGCTTCTGCCCTGAATCGCTTTTGCACATAATCTCTGGATGTAAGACATATCTAAATGAAGGGAAATATACATGGCGACATGATTCAGTTTTGAATCTCATTGCGTCCAGCCTTCTCGACGTCGGAAGGTCCAAAATGTATGTAGATCTGCCTGGATTTATTAGCCCATCTGTCATCACTGGTGACGAGTTACGACCAGACCTTCTATTGACAATTGAAAATAAGATTTTGTACATTCTAGAATTAACTGTTGGATTCGAAACAAACCTGAAAACTAACTCAGATCGAAAACATGAAAAATATTTGACTCTAATTACCGATCAGGAAAATATATATGATGAAGTTAAGTTTGTTAATGTATCTATAAGCTCTTTAGGTGTATTTGGTGAATCGACGAATACTTTATTTGATATGCTCCATGATCTGAAGTACGACGAACAATGTATTAAATATGTAAAAAAGAAATAATTGCTACTTGTATTCGCACGTCGTATTATATATTCTGTAGACGAAACAAAGACTGGAACAACCCAGAACTTTTAAACTTTTAACTAAATTTAAAAGATTTTCACATGATATATATTTTAGCTTTAAACTCAATTCAAGTGGACATCGATAAGCTACCTTTTATTAAGTGAGGTTTATCAATGTATATATAGTACATCGTAAATATCTAATAAAAAGTTTCCATTATTATTATTATTATTATTATTATTATTATTATAAAATAATCCTACTAAATTAATAATTAATTGATATTATATTATACAACATGGCGGACAAGGTCATGGTTTGAGGAGTTGCTGTGATCTACAATATATTGAAGAAAATTGTTCTGACTTGAGTATAAGTTGAAGAACGAGCCTTTATTTATATGTAGTAATGAGCATATCGCTACAAGTATAAAACCAAGTGAGATACGTGAGGCAAAGCGAAGACTCAATGCCGCCTAAAACGAAAGCTTCGCAGAAGCGTACAAAATGGACAGACCAAATGATCGCTGATCTTGTGACATGTCGAGCATTAGCTCTAGCAAAACATGCAGATACATCAAATATAGCAGAAAATGTGAGCGGTAGGCGAAAGGGTTATATGGAAATAATGAAAGATTTATCGGAAGAGAAAGGGTATGCATCATATCGGTTCTCAGCTCAAAATCTACGAGATAAAGTAGCACAAGTTCTAAAGAATAAAGAAAGAAAATTGCCGCATACTAACTGCTCGAAGGACACCAGTAACGTATCTATAAATTTCTCTGAAAACGATGTGTTTGATTCGGCTCAAAATCAAAACAACCAACACGAATATAACAATGTAGAAATTGAACCTGATAATGACGCTAATGTTAATATAATCGGCCAAGTAAACAACATAAATGGCCCGGTTTTATCCGACTGTTTACATGCATCTAACAACTTTCAATGGGGCGAATTGAATAAAGAGGCATGCTCTAAATGACGCATATGAAGAAATAGTATCCTGGAGAAGAAATATTTTTATCCTTCCATCGGGTAAAGTCGGGAAAGCGTTTATCAAAGAGTTAGCTCGTTTATATCAGGCGTATGCAGATGAGTCGCCACTTGAATCTATTGCCCTTAAAGCGTGTTCAGTGATGCAAAGCGCCCTACTACAAAAGCCTCACGCGAAGAGTAAAACCAAAGACCATGTTGCTTGCTTGGAGCGTAGACTTTGTTTATGGACAGAGGGTAAATTCAAAGAATTAATATTGGAGGGAAAGTGCATTCAAAAACATTTATTTAATTCACCTGCTTCAAATTTAACATCGCAAGGCGAAATGCAAAATATTGCAAGGGGCTTGAATCGTTTTAATGCTGCAAGGCAAAGTTCGTCAAGCTGTCAATCTAATTTCCAATGCAAATCGTCGAGGCCTTTTAAATATGGACACGTTAATTCCAGCTGGTGAAGACAAAGAGGGCAATATTCAATGGAAAACAACTAGAGAAATCCTTATGGAAAAACATCCACCGGGGCGTATTCCCAGCGATGGCATCCTTTTGCAAGATACAAATTCTGACGAGAGTTACTACGACCCAATTGTATTCGAAAGAATAACCGGTGATTTGATACGTGAAGCAGCTACTAAGATCCAGGGCTCTGCTGGCCTGTCTGGGATCGATGCGTATCTGTGGCGCCGCTTCTGCTTGTCATTTAAAACCGCCTCTATAGATCTGTGTAATGCATTAGCTGGGGTTGCTAGACGTCTATGTACGTCATCAGTTCACCCTGAAAGTCTTTCTGCTTTTGTGGCATGTAGACTTATTCCCCTGGATAAGAATCCTGGTATACGTCCTATTGGTATAGGTGAAGTACCACGACGCATTATAGCCAAGTCAGTCCTTAGAGTAATTCGAGATGATGTCCAAGAAGCGGCTGGTCCCTTGCAAACATGTGCAGGTTATGAGGCAGGTTGTGAGGCGGCTGTTCATGCCCTTAATCAGATTATGGATATAGAATAGACGGAAGCATTGCTGCTTGTCGATGCTACAAACGCTTTTAATACACTAAAGGCAAGCAGCATTACATAACATTCAAGTTATATGCCCTGCGATATCGACCATCTTGAATAACACTTATAAGGCTCCTGTGAGGATGTTTGTTGCAGGAGGGTGAGAAATAGCTTCAATGGAAGGCACCACACAAGGCGACCCATTAGCCATGGCTATGTACGCATTAGCTATAACCCCACTAATCAAAAGAATAAAGGAACAAGCTCCCAATGCAAGTCAGGTTTGGTTCGCAGACGATTCCAGTGCAGCAGGAAGATTAGGAGCCCTCAAGGTTTGGTGGCAACACTTAACAATACTTGGCCCCGAATTTGGCTATTTTCCAAACGCAAGCAAGACAACAATGGTAGTCAAAGAGGAGTTCTTTGATCAAGCGAAGGATTTATTTGAGGAAACTAGCATCAAGATTACCACTGATGGTCATAAAATACTTGTGCTGCCTGCGGTAAACGTTCTTTTGTGGACGAATATGTAGCTGATAAGATAGACGAGTGGGAAGAAGAAATTGGGATGTTATCTAAAATAGCTGAAACGTATCCACATGCTGCATATACCGCATTTACTCGTGCTATTGTGTGTAAATGGCAATATCTTATGCGAACGATTGATGGTATCGGTAGCATGTTTCAACCGTTGGAGAACGCTATTTCGGCCAAACTCATTCCGGCTTTAACGGGCAGAGGACCTTGTTCCAGCGTAGAAAGAACAATACTCTCTTTGCCAACGCGTCATGGTGGGCTCAATCCTGTTAATCCTTTACATTTCTCATTTTTCTTTATGCTTTAAAAAATCGTAATTATTGTAAGGTCAATCTTACAATTATTGATTAATTGTGCTACTTGGCCCCCAGTCTTTTAGCCTTATGGTTATTTTGGGGTGTCAGCTCCTTTATTTTAATTAAATAAATAAGTAACATTAATAGTAAAAAAGGAATAATGTAAAACAAAAAATGTAATTGTGTGATTATTACGGAGCAATAAATTGTCTTGTCTTGTCTTGTCTTGTTGAAGTCGCGAATAGTCATTATAACGCATCATTAAAGATTACTGAACCATCTGAAGAAGATGATCGTTAGCCAAACGACAACTTATAAGAAAATTTATCTACACGACATAAAAGCCAATCTGCGAAGGCAAAAGAACCAGTACCACCAGCAACTAGCCACGGAGGTCAGAGAAAGCTTGTCCCCAATAAAGCAACGGACTTTGGATTTGTTGGAGCTAAGAGGTTCATCGTCATGGTTATCTGCCCTACCACTGAAAGACCAAGGCTTCAGTCTAAACAAGGGCGAGTTTCGTGATGCTTTAAGCCTCAGGTACGGATGGCAACTGAAAAATCTTCCCCAATATTGCATATGTGGAACTAGTTTTTCGACCGATCATGCCATGATATGCCCACACGGAGGAATGACTATATCTCGTCATAACGAAATCCGTGATCTTACCGCTGATTGGATGAGTCAAGTATGCAGAGAGACGGAAACCGAACCACCATTGCAGCCCTTATCTGGAGAGATTATCCTTCCCCATTCCGCGAATAAACGAGAAGATGCCCGGGTCGATATTAAGACTATCGGACTTTGGGACCGGCAGCAAAGCGCATTTTTTGATGTTAGGTTTTTCACCCCAACGTGCCAAGCTACCGTGACAAAAGTGTTGCAGCTTTGTTCCGGAAACATGAACTAGATAAGAAGAGAGAATATGGCGATCGGATAAGGGAAGTTGAAAATGGTTCCTTTACACCACTGGTCTTTTCAACAACAGGAGGTGCCAGCGGAGAAACAACAGTGGTTTATAAAAGATTAGCGGAACTAAGATTAGTATATAATAATAATAATAATAATAATAATAATAACAATAATGAAAACTTTATTGAATTTTTTATGCACTTACAATTGAAAATCTCACTATTAAAGGTAATTTACAATTGGCTACTTGATACACTATACATTACTACATTTACATAACACATGGTCATAATTATGTGATACAAAAAGTAACAGACTAACTAGAAGTTCATTAAATCTGGATTCGACCAATCCTTGTTTCTACAACAGAAAACGTAATATGTCGTTCTTATTGCAATGTTAATGATTTTTCTAATGGTATATTTAACACAGGCCTTATCTGAGTTCAAATGTTCCAACATTTGTATAAAATCTGACGATTCTTTAATAATAATAATAATAATAATAGTAATAATAATAATAATAATAATAATAATAAATAATAATGGAAACATTTATTATTAAATAATTATTTTACATAGTTAAAACAAGGCAACCAGCACTCACTACAATATGAAGGCATCCAGGATGCTTTTATGGTACAGAGAGTTAAAAGTATTTACAATATGGTGATAAAAGTCAAGATTACCAATATAAAAGTTCTGGGTTATTCCATTCCCTGTGTCTCATGCAAAACAGAAAGTGCGTAGTCCTAATGCAAACTCCACATAGTTTTCTAATTAAAAAGTTTCTTTGAAATATGTCCAAGCTCGTTACATTCTCTAAAAAGCCATAAATCCTTTTACATTCTATTCCAATTACACCAATAGCCCCCATTGATAAATGGAGATACTCAACGGTATTATATCGTTGCTTCAAAGTATTACAAAGTTCCTTATAGCGTGTTGTTTTCCTAATAGAATTTTTAGTAATGTTAGTCTTAAATCCAACAATCAATTCAATTACGTAAATTGCTCGATTGGTGTAGTTCTCAATGATCATATCCGGTCGGTCATCAAATCCAGTTACAACTGATAGATTTTCGAAGCCGTCGACATCAGTGTAGAAGCGTAGATCTTTCTTACAGTCGATTTCACGAAACTTTGACTACAAATGTTCCGAACTTCGTTGCGAAGTTCGGAAGCTCATATTGGAATTCACAAGCCAATTTGTAAACAAAGTCCCTGAAAGAAGCCAATCAAATGCGTAGTTTACGAACTGGTTTGTGAATCTCATTATGAACTTTTGAACTTCGCAACAATCTTGTGAACTTCGCAAGATTGTTGCGTTATATATATATATATATATATATATATATATATATATATATATATATATATATACAACTGTAAATCTGACTAGTTAAAGTAACTTACAATTGGCTATTTGAATCACAACTATGAACTAATAATAATGACAAAACTGAATACATGAAAATATATAAATATGCAAGACAATCAAATATTTCAAGTAGTTAACAAGTCCAGACATTCCCATTCCTTATTTGGACAACAGAAAATGTTATAAGTACTTCCAAAAGCAATAGTCATCATTTTCCTAACACAGTAAGTTGGTAGTTTTTGTCGAGACCAACATTTCCTACCATATCCGAGCATTCTTGCGCAAAAATAACTAGGGAGCTCATGGAAAGATTAACAAAGTTTACTTCGACAAAATTTTCATCTAGCTGTCTTACTATTTCTCTAAATTTGGCTTTTTTTTTCGTTTAACGTTGTTCTCGATGTTTGTCTCATAGCCAACAGTGGGCTCGACCACATAGAGAGAGCCATTTGATAATGATAGCAACAAATCCGGCCGATGCGTATCACCAGTTATTATTGACGGACTTTTCAATCCGGGCACATCAGCGTAGAGGGCAGAACCGTTCACAGTTTGCAAAGAATTGGCAAGAAAGTTCAGGATTGAATTGTACCTCCACGTAAATAGATCAAGATAACACTGACATCCAGCAACCACGTGCAATAATTATTCTGGGCCGAGACAAAAGGAGCATTCTGAACTTGAAGACAATCCCCATCTGCTAAGCTTCTTACGTGTTGGAAGAGAGTTATTGATATAGCGTATAGTAAAGTTATAAATGTTTTTCGGAAGTTTTGATTGAGCAGTAGACCACACTTTGTTAAGATGCAACAAGGATAACTTTGTTACATTAGAGAAAAAGGATCGCTGATAAGTTAATTCGTTTTTGAGTTTATCTTCATGTTCAGAGCGAAAATCTTTAAGCACTTCTTTGATTGACTTGTAAAAGTCGTATTGGATATTAGTATGAGTATTAGTAGATTTCCACAGTTTGTTAATTGATTGATTAGGAGAAAGTTTTAAAGCTTTTCGAAGAACTGTTTGGCATTGGATAAATTTCATCGATGGAGGATAAATACTTTGACCAAATTTGTTACAAGTTAGGAAAACAGTACTTAGTGTTCCTGAGATTGGAATTTGGTTGACTACGGGATCAATATTTTCAATAACCCATGTTTTCGAAAGTGTTGCGATGGTGAAATGCCAGGATAATTTGGATAAGACATAACGACTGTACGCGAGAAGCTTATTTCTTGGGTGGAGTGGCTTCGAGTCAATATCAGTCATTAGTTCATTAACGAGAGTGGTTAGTTCAGTCTTATGGTTATTATTTGACATGTTAAAATCAAAGTAACATCCTAAATATTGAAATGCTTCTTCAATCTTTATTGTTGGTATCGGATTATTGTTGATGAGGAGTTTCGGCAAGTATTGGACTGATTTTGTGAAGGCTTTCTTCTGCCAGGGTAGAAGCCATGTGAAGGCTTTCTTCGATGTAGTAACATTTATCGACTCTGATAATCATATTGAACCATGGGCAGCAGATTGAAAAAGGATTTAAGAGATGCTGGTTTTCAGATTCTTAGGCAGTGACTACGGCTGCCTCATCAGCGAACTGGAACCAGTGGATAGGATTGAAAAGCTTGAAGGAGAAGCCAAACTGACGGTACTTTTCAGCTTTTATATGTTGGATGAAAGTATTAAAACACATATTGAAAAGAAGAGGACTGAGACAATCTCCTTGCAATACGCCACGGCCAACATATATAAAAGGGGTGCGGAAATCGGAGGTAATTATTGAGGTTTGGAAATCAGTGTATAAACTTTTATAACGAATTTTATGTGTTCTGGGATGTGGTGGTAATCGAGTACTGATTGGATGAGTTTGTGGTAGACTGCGCCGAAAGTATTCTTCAGATCAAGTAGGATGATGACAACAGAGCGTTGTTTGATGCGGGCTTTGTTAATGCCGTCAGCCATTTGTGCAGTGTGTTCTAGAGTGCCAGATAGGTTAGGGGTGGAGCCATTTTTGTATGCCGTGTTCGATAAAGTTATTGGATGCGAGGACGGATATTGCGTTTCGAAGACAAGATGTAAATACCTTTAATGGTATGGACTCAAGTGTTACGGGACGGAAATTTGACGGATCATCAGTGTTGCCTTTCTTATGTATTAATATAGTACAGGCTTTTTCCCATTCATTCGGGACAGTTCCAGATAGTCAAATTTCTTGAATTAGTTCACTGAGGTAAGTTCTCAGATAAGGACATCGCTAAAAACATATTATCGAAAGTTGATCAAGGGGGCAAGGGGAACCAGACGATTTAATTTTACGTATCACATTGGTAATTTGTTGGTAAGTGTGGGGGGGGGGGGTCAAGGTTGAATTGAACTTCGGGATCAGATAACTTTGGAATCCAGCTGGGAATATTAAACAGTGTATTAGGATTAATTTTAGCCAGAGATTTAGAAAAATAAGTAAAGCAATCTGTCACGTTAAATGATGGTAATATTATTATTATTATTATTATTATTATTTAATCTTATTTAATCACGGTAGCCTTTCAGAAGTACATCTGTTTTTCGAATGGCCGTGAGTTTATTAAAATATTTACATAATTGGAGAGAAAAAAAAAGGAAATCTAAAAGCGAGAAAAACAGGCCAGGTTGACACAGACATCTTCTATGATTAGGTAGGTTATTCCAACTCATAGCTCCTCGATAGGGAAAGCTATTTTTTAGAAAATTTGTCTTTGGCTTAGGTAGGTAAATATTTCTATTGTTGCTACGTAATTGATAGTTGCCGTTTTCGTTCAAGTTAATTGTCTGCATTATTGAGTCCTTCTTATTGATAACGTTTTTAACATGTGTTCAATATCATTTATATAAAGTAAAAATAAAATTGGCCCAAGAATTGAACCCTGTGGGACACCTGTTTCAATTGTCATTTCGTCTGACCTAGTTTGATTCTACTTGACAATTTGTTTTCTGTTTGTTAAATAATTGTCAAACCATAGTTGAGTAACCGTTTGCCATCCAGAGTCATTACGGCAACTTGATAAAAAAGAACTATCGTCCAGTGACCAACCTTGCATTTCTGTCTAAGGTGACTGAAAGAATTGCTGCTAAGCAAATGTGCAGTCACCTATCCATCAATTATTTGTTTCCTGAATTTCAGTCCGCTTATCGTAACTTTCACAGCACTGAAACAGCATTGTTGCGTACGCGCAATGATATTCTTATAAACATGAATAAACAACATGTCACTCTGTTGGTGTTCCTGGACCTCAGCGCTGCATTTGATACGGTGGACCATGACATATTGTTGCGGCGTCTTAAATATAAGTTTGGGATTTGTAATAATGCGCTTGCTTGGTTTCGATCATATTTAGTGAACAGATCCCATCGTGTAGTTATAGAAAACGTAATGTCAGACAGTTTTGATATGAAGTATGGTGTGGCTCAAAGGTATTGTTTAGGCCCGTTGTTGTTTATCCTGTACACAAGCAAACTGTTCGATGTCATCCACCATCATTTGCTCACCGTGCATTGCTTTGCTGACGATACGGAGTTATATCTCGCATTTAACCCAAGTAGCGATAATGCTCAGGATGCTGCCATCTTAGCTATGGAGAATTGCCTACGAGACATCCGGAATTGGATGATTACTGATAGGTTGATGATAAATGATGAAAAAACGGAATTTATGTTAATTGGAACAAAAGCTCAGCTCGCTAAAGTCAAGAACATTACTCTAACTATTGGTGAATCTGTGATTTCACCATCTGAAGAACATATCAGGAACTTGGGCGCTTGGTTTGACAGTACCTTCAACTTGATTCACCATATCAATAAGACCTGTAAAAGTGCTTTTTATGATCTGCATAATATAAGAAGAATTCGCAAGTATTTAAGCAGAGAATCAACAGAGAAACTTTTTCATGCTTTCGTTACCAGTCACCTAGACTATTGCAATGGACTGTTATATGGACTTCCCAACAATGCTATAGCCAAACTACAACGTGTTCAGAATGCTGCCGCAAGGATTCTCTACCGTGCACCACGGTTTAGCCATATTACTCCGCTGTTGTATAAGTTACACTGGTTGAAAGTCAAATGTCGAATTGAATATAAGATAATTACACTTACGTTTAAGGCAATTCATGGAACTGCCCCTAATTATATAACCGAACTTATAACTTTTAAAACAAACTCTTCTTATAGCTTAAGATCAAATAACAAACTTCTTTTATGTCCGTCAATTTTAAGACATTGTCTACTCTTGGTGACAGAGCCTTTATGGCTGGTGCACCAAAACTATGGAATGTATTGCCATTGAATCTTAGGAGTATCTCTGATTTTAATATTTTTAAGCATGATCTTAAGACATATCTTTTTAAAGAGGCTTTTTATTAGCTCAGTTCTTAGATTAAATTTGTAATATTAGTTCTACGTAATTTAATTGTCCTATCCATTGTTGTAACGCGCATTTGAAAATTTCATTGTTGAATTTGCGCGATATAAATTAATAAATGTTATGTTATGTTATGTTATGATCCTTATGTTGTTGAGAGCGGCTGCTCTATTTAGAAAATTAAATGCATTGGACGCATGAATGAGTAGGATCGCTTCAGTGTCATCTTCTTCGAAAATGTTGCGCATGGCGTGAATTGCAGCTTTACTTCCGGAAGGTTGATACGCACATAACTGAAGTGAACCACTTGCTTTCATCACATCGGATTTGACAACCTTCATTACGCTTTTGCTGATTACTCTTCGTACGACTTCTCCAACTCCAATGGGTCGAACTCCAACTCCACCTTTATCTAATTGGATAAGGCGACTTGCAACTAAAGCTTCTATTGACGATGGGTCAACATGATCCGTACAAAGGTTCCGTGCCAATGTTTCTAACGCATCACAAAGCGCTACTGACGAATGCTTAAATGAATTACACGCAAGGATTCTTTTAAACATATTTGCATTAACACCAGATGGCCCCCCTGATCCTTTTGTCCCCAGAGCTGCGTCTCGTATCATTTCTCTATTTATTGTGAGGTATATACTCTCTGGTATATCTTAAACTGGTCCGCGAAGTAGCACTCTCGATTTTGCTGGTTGTGCTTCTGGTTGTTTCTCTCGTAACTGTTGCATTACATTATCTGTTAGCGATAGAATCTTTCCCGAACTAGCATCGTTCAGAAAGCGCATTGCTGAGTTTATCTGACCTTCGATAACAAGTTTGGCAAATCTGTTTGCTTTGTTTTGTGGTTCAGATTTCATTCCTTTTCCAATACGACTTTCAATCACTCTTCCTTCGTGCAACAGTTTATCGACTTCTCCACTTTTCCATGACGCCAAACGTTTCTTAAGCATTCTTTGCGGTCTTTTGCTTTAGACTTTGGTTCCGGCTTTTGCAGCCCAACAGCAAGCAATACAAAAAAAAGCTTTCAGCGCAATATGTTGGTTGTCTGATTTATTATTCCATTGATTAATATGCATTGTCAATTGGTCGAAAATTCTCGTCCTATTTTCCCATAAGGGAGCAAGCACACATTCTTTTTCCATGATATAATTTCATCATACGCATTTATAATCGAAGTCATTTGAATTGATATCGGAGATCCATTGTCAGTCTTACCCCATTCAATCAATACAGGTTTGCATAATCTATTATATTCTGGTATGCATTGTTCTTCAGTATAGTCTGTTCCCTCATCAATTGCAACTTTTGATTTATTAAGCAAACTCGTGCATTGTGACACATTACTATGTTTGTCGTTAAAATCACCAACCGTTTTATGCAAATTTGTGAAAGTTGACAAATTTGTATTCTCGGCTGTTGTGTCTATAGCTACTGTACTTTTTGAAATTTCGTTGTTTTGAGTTTTCACTCCCGTTTCATCTAGCTCGCTGCTTTCCACCATATGTATAACATATATGCCGTTGCTTTTACTTTGCCTTGACGTATCTTCCATTACTTTCTCTAGTCTAGCTGCTCAATCTCTCAAATTCTGGCTTGTTAACCCCAGCTGTTCATATCCTCGTGCCTGCCATAGGTCATGCATAACTTTGATATAGCATTTTCGTCTTCCATTTTCGTTTACAGGAAAATGTTCCGACGAAACCAAGTCTTGAGCTTTCCTTTTACAATCTAAGCAATCTAAATCCATTTGCCCCGTCCATTTCAGTCGCTTTGCCCCGTCCATTTTACCTCTATTTCGTTCATTTGTCGTTTGCACCCGCCATATTTGACAACCTTCCCTCACGGCCTCATTTTCTAATAATAACAATAACAATAACAAGAACAAGAACAAGAACAAGAACAAGAACAAGAACAAGAACAAGAACAAGAAAAAGAACAACAAGAAGAACAACAAGAACAACAAGAACAACAACAAAAACAACAACGACGACGACGCCGACGACGACGCCGACGACGACGCCGACGACGCCGACGACGACGACGACGACAATAATAATAATAATAATAATAATATTAATGGAAACTTTTTATTAGATATTTACGATATGCTACATATACATTGATAAACTTCACTTGATAAAATGTAGCTGATAAACGACCACTCGAATTGAATATAAACTAAAATATATATACAGGTGAAAATCTTTTAAATTTAGTTAAAAGTTTAAAAGTTCTGGGTTGTTCCAGTCTTTGTTACGTCTGCAGAATATATAATACGACGTGCGAATACAAGTAGCAATTTTTTTTTTATTTTACATATTTGAAACGTTGTTCGTCGTAGTTCAGATCATGGAGCATATCAAATAAAGTATTCGTCGATTCACCAAATACACCTAAAGAGTTTATAGATACATTGACAAACTTAACTACATCGTTTATGTATTTTCTTGATCGTTAATTAGAGTCAAATAATTTTCATGTTTTCGATTTGAGATAGTTTTCATGTTTGTTTCGAATCCATCAGTTAATTTTAGAATGTACAAAATCTTATTTTCAATTGTCAATAGAAGGTCTGGTCGTAACTTGTCACCAGTGATGACAGATGGGCTAATAAATCCAGGCAAATCTACATACATTTTGGACCTTCCGACGTCGAGAAGGCTGGACGCAATGAGATTTGAAACTGAATCATGTCGCCATGTATATCTCTCTTCGTTAGTTATGTCTTACATCCAGGGATCACGTGCAAAAGCGATTCAGGGGAGAAGCAGAACGAACAGTCAGAAGATGATCACAGACCCCATTTAACTTGGTTTTTCCTGGTAGGCAAAGAATTGTTGATGTAACTTTGACTGAAGTTAAACATGTTCTTAGAAAGTTTTGAATGAACCGATGAACATAGGGAATTGAATGCTAACGTGGAATTTTTCACAATGTTTGAGAAAAAAGAACCTTGGACATTAGTTTATTTTTTAGGTTATAATAATAATAATGGAAACTTTATTACTTTCAATAATATATATACACACTACAATGATAAACCTCTCTTTACAGGTAGTTTACCAGTGTCTACTTGAATTAACACTCAACATAATAACAATATTAGTATGACATTAGTTGTGGGTTATCCCATTCTTTGTTACGCTTACATAATATATAATAGGAGGACCTGATACATATATTAATAATTTTCCGAACATAGTACTTTCTACATTGTTCATCAAACTTTAGATCCTTCAGCATTTCGGTGAAATCTAGCGACGGGTGGCTGAAAACTCCTAATGAGCTAATCGATAAATTTACAAATTTCACTTTTTCATAATTTTTGAGCTGTTCGTTAATTAGATCTTGATATTTTTGTCTTTTTCGAGTTGCATTTAGTGAGGAGATTAGATTCAAATCCGACGGTAAGTTCAAGTATATAAATACATTTGTTTTCATGTGTTATCAAAAGATCAGGGCGCAATTCATCTCCGGTGAGAACAGATGGACTGATATAGCCAGGAAGGTCAGCATAAAGGTTACAATGGTTCACATATTTAAGTATGGATGCTATGAAGTTAAGCACCGAATCATGACGCCACGTGAAACGTCCTTCATTTAGGTAGGTCTTGCATCCAGCGACGACGTGAAGAAGTGATTCTGGATTCAAACAAAACGAACATTCGGATGTTGGTGATATTCCCCATTTCAGAAGGTTTTTGCGAGTCGGGAGAGTGTTATTTATATACCGGATAGTGAAGTTAAATATATTCTTCGGAAGTTTACTCTGAACGGAGGACCATATAGAGTTGAATGAGAGTGTAGAATGTTTAATGATATTGGAGAAAAATGAGCCTTGTGAAATGAGGTAGTGTTGAAGCTTGTCTTCATGTTGTTCCCTGATGGCGTTTAATACGTCCTTGGTGTTTTTGTATTTGTCATATTGTACATTTTTGTGATTGCTAGTATCCTTCCAAAGGTAATTGATCGCTTCATTTGGCGACGACTTTAGGGCTTTCCGAGAAACAGTTTGGCATTGAAGGAATTTGGTTGAAGGTAGAATGATATTTAATCCAAATTTATTGTGGGGAAGTAGGACGTTACTAATGGTTGCCGAAATAGGAAGTTCAAGCCATTTTCGGATATACGTAGACGCGATACTATCTAGTTTATCGTTAACCCAGGTTTTGCCTATGTCAGAAACAGTGAAGTGCCAAGAGATTTTGGAAAGCACATAACGACTGTATAAGAGAATTTTGTTTTTCGGATGTAATGGTAGATCATCAATTTCATTCAGGATATTAGTAAGTGTGTCATATACCTCAGATTTGTGATCTTCGTCGGACATGTTGAAATCAAAATAGCGACCTAAGTAGCGAAACGATTTACCAAGTTCAACACGAGGTACAAGACAGTTATTTATAAATAGTTTTGGGAGATATTGAATGGATTTGGTTACTTGTTTCCTAATGCCAAATGTTGAACATTTGTCTACACGTATTATCATTTGAGCCCACTGGCACCAGATTGTAAAGCGATTAAGGAGCATTTGGTTTTCTTTTTCTTGGCCGCTAACAACAGCCGCGTCGTCGGCAAACTGGAACCAATGAAGAGGATTTAATGGGGTACCGTTTTCACTGGATTTCCAAAATCCAAGTTGACGGTATTTTTCCGATTTAATATGTTGGATAAAGGTATTGAAAGACATATTGAATAAAAGAGGACTGAGACAATCGCCTTGAAGGACGCCACGACCGACTGCAATGAAGGAAGTATTGAACTGTTCAGTTATTATGGAAGTTTGGAAATCAGTATAAAGGCTACTATAATAATAATAATAATAATAATAATAATAATAATAATAATAATAATAATAATAATAATAATAATAATAATAGTAATAATAATAATAATAATAATAATAATAATCATGATAATTTATTAACAGATCCGACAAAGCGGCTCTTCCCTGTTAAGTACTACATTAGTATTAGTATTCTACTAACATTAATATTATATAAAACTCTACTACTAATTATTGTAGCTAAAACTATACTACAATTTACCAAGCCAAAAGCAAGTTATTGCAATCGTTCCTTAGCTATGTCCACAAGGTAGTTATTTGATTGTATGCTAAAACTTAACAAGAGTTTCACAATTTTTAATATCGTTCGCAAGTTTATTAAGATATTTTGAGGCCAAATCCTGAAAAGTTTCCTTAACTCGAGGAACTGTCAATTTAGTTGGATCACTTGATCGTAGATTTCTCAATGGTTTGGCCACTTCCAGGCTGGCATATGATGGCCAAGACGTATCATGTAATGCTTTATATGTTGTTTTTAAAAGATGCCATCCCTGCGTTCTTGAACTGAAAGCCAGCCTATCTTGACAGCATCTGCTGTAGTTGCATAGCGTCCTATCACAAAACTTGTTGCAGCATTTTAAATACGTTGAAGACCCTTTACTAAGTATAATGGAAGCGGGTCAAACACAGAGATTTATTCAGAGATTTATTCAGGAACTGCACTATTTACAAAACAAAGAAAATGTATACAAAATTTTACAAATAATTATGTTTTGAATGAATAATTTCAAGTTAATTTGATAAAGTGAAGGTGCGTAGTGATCAAAGGAGCATAAACTTTCGAGTTGATCACTACCTACGTTCGATCATATAGATTATTTTATATGGTTGAGCTTAAATAAAGACACTCAGATACATATGTACACATATACACATACATATACACATACATATACACATATATGCATATACATACACATATAGACTCAAGTCTCAATAACATTTTTCATTGATTTTGTAGAAGGGCAGCTTTATATCTTTTCTTAAAGATTTCAAATGAAGACGAACTTTTTATTTTCAAGTCAATAGACTCCCATATTTTTGATGCAACAAATTGAAAAGTGTGCTTTCCATAATTTGTCTTGACCTTTCGCCTGACAAAATTTAATTTTGAAGCAAATCTTGTATTATAACTGTGTTGTTGGTATGCTGGTCTCACAAACTCTAAGAAGATAGACGGAATATTTGATCTTCCATTAACTATTTTATAACTAAACTCTGCAATTTTTAGCTTGAATATGTTTTCAAATTTAAGTATTTCCATGAGGTTATAATACGGAGTAGCACTCTCCCTGCTATATGCAAAGAACATATTCCTTAGACACTTATTTTGTTTGGTACTAATTTTCGTTAAACTAGTCTTGTATGTATTTCCCCAACTCATTACTCCATAAGTTAAATAAGGATAAATAAGTGTATAATATAATTGCTTTATCATTTTTAAGTCTAAATAGTGTCGAAGTTTATTTATAATTCCAATATTTTTAGCTATTTTATTATTGACATATTTTATTTGTTGTTTCCAATTGATATGCTCATCCAGAAAAATCCCCAAGTACTTAATAAAACCTTTTGTTCAATATTATCAATTTTTATGCTGTTTAGTTTCTTTCTCGTTGAAGATATTACCATATAATGAGTCTTCTGAAAATTTATAGATAATTTATTTATTGCACAATAGTTACGTATTAACTTAAATTGTTCATTCATTGTACTTTCCTAGTTCAACAAATTTTTACAGGAATAAAAGGCGTTAGTATCATCAGCAAATGTACGAAAACTCAGCTTTTTTGCACAGTTAGGCATATCATTAATATAAAGTAAGAAGAGTAATGGGCCAAGTGTAGAACCTTGTGGTACCCCACAGGTCATTTCAAGTAGTTCAGATTCAGTACAGCCTATTTTCACATACTGTTTCCTATTACTTAAGTAATTCTTAAACCATGTTTAAAGGCTCCCCTCGAATACCATACTTGTCCATTTTTGCCAGAAGTATCTCGTGATTTACGGTATCGAATGCTTTAGACAAGTCAAGAAATAAGCCGCATACTATTTGATTATTATCTAAATAATTTCTTAGGTTATCTGTTATTTCAAGAATCGCTTGTTCTGTAGAATAACCTTTTCTAAATCCAAATTGGTACTCATACAAAATTTTATATTTTTCAATAAAAGATATTAATTGTTCATACATAAGCTTTTCTAATATTTTGCTGAAGGGTGATAAAATAGATATATATAGGTCTATAATTAAACGGATCCGTGCATGTACCATTTTTATAAATAGGAGTAATTCTCGATATTTTTAAAACGTCTGGTACAATACCTATTTCAAATGATCATTGTACAATACCTATTTCAATATCATTGTAGTCCATTTTTGATAGCACCAAGGCCTCAGCAAGATGCTTACGAAGTTTAAAATCTGCGAAATGTTTAATTTTCCGCAATGTACTAAGTGTGCCGTAGCATGAAGATGCAGTCATTTTTACATGCTTATTCCATTTTAAGTGTTCATGAAAATGTACTCCGAGCAGTTTTTTCGAATCAACTCTTTTCAACGTATTACCAGATATATTTAAGCTGAAATATAATTCCCCAAGAGAGTGAACACTGGCCATTATGGAAGTTGAAAACAACATTGCCTCCATTTTCTTTGGATTAAGAGCGAGATTTGATTGTGATGACCAAGCATTTAAATTCGCCAGAATTTAAATGGCTTTCATTGTTCAGTGTTCATTGTTCAGGCTTTCATGGGTATGACTAAAGGGAGAGTTACCAACCGGAGAGTTATCTCGGAGAGTTATGATTTCGGAGAGTTATGTTCAAACCACGCCCACTTTTCCCAACGACCACACCCAATTTCTTAACTCTCCCGACGTTTCTTGAACTAACATGAGAGAGTTATGTTTGGCGTAACTCTCTCTCGTTAACATTATGAAGATGTTAAAGAGTTATCATATTTTATAACTCTCCGCGTTCACGATTATGGCAATGAATAGAGTTAAGTCAGTTTTTTGAGAAAACCTTAGTAAAGTTTGTTTCTTCAGATTTTCATCTTATATTTTGGTATTTCAGTTTGTAGCGTGTCAATAGCGTGCGTCCAAACAGGAAAATACAACTTGACTCGGTCAAAACAATGAGATAAGAAGGGTCAAAGTACCCCCAGAAGCATGTTTTGACGTGTATTTGGCAGTAAATATGGCAAGCATAGTAGCAAGAAAATTAAGAAAATTGAATCTTTCAGCAATTCAGGTTTTGGAAATACTTTCCCATATCAGCCAATAGGGCATTACATTGGAAAGATTTTCTGGTTCTATCTAATATGTATCTGAATGCTGGTCTTGCTAGATAATCTAAGTGAGCATGCATGTATATTTATATAAACATTTACATATAGATGAACTTTGTA